TTGCTCAGCCGAAGCTTGCGCAACATGATCAACTGTATTGTGGACTTTGTGATCCTCACCTCATCGTTGAAATCCCTTCCCTGTTCCTTCCGAAGTGGGAAGGAAGTGTTGACTCACATGTACATCGTGCGGGGAGGGTTGATCCGGGGAAGCTTTGCGGCTCTATGTGTGATGTGCCGATACAGTCCCAAGATGTAGGACGGACGCATTCGGAACTAGGACCGGCAGCAACTTGCTGCAGATTTCCAGAGAAAACAAAGGATAAGCGCCATTGTGGAAAGAACACCTCCCGCTGAATCTGGCAACGCAGGTGGTTGCCACCTGCACTGTTACGACCGATTCAGATCGCTCCCGGGAAGCCTTACCTCTCTCCAGTTGCCGGCACCTCCGTGGCGATCCCATTGGTCGACATTCTGAGGTCAGTGCACAGTTTGCTTCATTCCGAAGGAGCACTTGGTGGAGAGATCTGGGGAGGGGACAAGCAACACTGGCGGGATCACTCGAAGAGCCCTACTCGATGCAGTCATCATTCTTCCCCACAACAACGTCGCACCCGGATGAGCAGGGAAGTACAGTCTGTGTAACACGAGAACCATACCACGTTGGCACTGCAGTGAAGCCCTGGTACCCTACCCTCCATGCAGCAAGTTAGATTCTCCAATTCAGCCCAGGTGAAGAAAGGGCGGTCTGTGCAATATTGGATAATGCCGAGCACTCCGAGGTTTACAACAGTCGGTTGGTTCTTCAGAGGAGCTTCGCTTCTCCTCAGTGTGACTCCAGTGTGGAAGATAAGGTAGGCCTGGAGACTTTGCTTTGCTTTGTGTGACCCTGACAACACGTACCTGTCATTGGGCCCCAGGCTCGACACGGTGGCAGGTCGTGACTTCGACGCAATGTGGGTGAGGTTTCTTTTGGTCGAGCTGTTCGTGGTCTGGCAGGGCGAGGCCGGGGCCTCCAGTCGAACATCACACCAGGCCCTGGCGGTTGGTAGTACTTTAAATAGTTCAACCCGGGAGCTCTCGTGGGCCTAGCTGAGGGATTTCGACCACCTTTTGCCCATAAGCAAATAACAACCGTCTGTCCCTGAGACCCGAGTCTCCTAGAGCCCCACTTCTGCGCACGCAGACTTCTGATCCGACTATACCTTATTCTCGGTCTTTTCTCCAGTCATGGGCCCCATCGTGAAAGCAGCAAGTGTCTCGTCCCTCACTCTGTTACACCGTGAGCAACTTTGTGACAGGCCAGGTCTCCCATCCATGATTAATTCTGCTCTAGCCCACGGGCTTGAGCAGAATTAGAGCTGAGAGCTGAGAGGTCCAGAAGTGAGGTACGGTTATAAACATTCGGGACCTCGCCTCATCTCATCCCTCGCCTCATCTTCCAGAGGGGGTCCCGGGGTCGCCAGTCGTTCCACACTTGGCTCTGAAGTAGATAGAGACCTCCAGGCGATGCAGGTCTGGGATTTCAGTTCATTTCGATTGTTCTGGAAACCTTCCGACTCTGCAATATGGATTGTTGAAGTTTGGAAGAAGGTGCACTCCCAAAGTGCAGGTAGAGGGACAATCCTCGTGGTAACATGGCCAACAAACATGGGGTAGTAACCATTGTCCTTTCGGTCCTTTCACCCCCGAGCCCCCGACTCAACCGATCCATGCTTTTTCCGTCTGTCCCCATTAACGTTCGCTGTGCCTTCTCCCGAACCCCGCCCTCGCCTCCTCTCCTCCTCTCCGCGTCTGCGTAACTGTCCTACGTCACCTGCAAATCTCCAACAAGGACTGTACTGTGGAGAACAAGTGTACATGACGCTCCATTCCGAATCATGCACTGTATAGAGTAATGCCAATGCTATAATATAATAGCACTTCTGGCAACTAGACACCCGCCAGAATAACAGACTAGGGAATATCAATGGAAACTAGACAGTTGAATATCTAGATTAAGTGAATTAAAATAATGTATATTCCAGTGTCATATATAGTAGATCTCGTGGGCTTATTATGTCACCACGAATGTTTCTTATTCTCCTTCACTAAGACTATCATCAAACTCTGCCAAGCGTTACAGGAATGCGAGTGAATTGTGTGAAGAAAGTTGATGGACCAATTAGCTTTATTATTATTAGCTTTATCACAGGAGATGTCATCTACTTGTAATGAGTCAATGGTATGACTTGTGTTAGTACAAAGTACTACGATCTCATCGAGATGAGGATTGTACTTTTGACTTTTTAGACCATTATGAACCTTGCGTTCATATTGATGTACAAAAGTCACAATCAGATTGCTAGTCTCAGTGTGACTTTTGAATCACAATCAGACTAGCAATCTGATTCACATCAACATGGGCCAACCTAGCAATAGACAAAAAAAAAGAATACATCTAGTTTCATACTATGTTAATAATTTCGTTGATCCTTTCGAATATATCCAGTGTATGGTGTACACTGGATATATTCAAAAGTGTCGACGAAATTATCTACATAGTATGTGGACCTTTTATCACAAATTTCGTTGTGATTGTTTGTCTCATATGTGCAAATCAAGTAGTTTGGTATAACCCTGGTGTAAGTTTTGTCTATCTTTTTCTTAAAATCTCTTTGTGAGATAAAATGATAACACAACTAACTAACTATGATGTATTACACATTATTTATGGTGTCACGACGAGAACATAAACACGAGCTTCGTAAAAAGTAAATGAAATTCACGCAGTATACTGCATCATTTATTTCCTTACTTGCGCAAATGAAGAATTTAGGTGGTGTGTGTGCAAATTTCTGCCCCTCTTGACATCCCACCATTCCATGAAGAAATCACTAACTTTCAATATACTAGAATTCAAATATCCTCCTAGATTATATTTCAATATATTTTAATATTGTAATCGAATTCTAATAATTTGTTAAAAAAATTTACTTCCAACACTGAAAAATTATATAGAGTCATTCTTCTTTATAAGACTTTCTGTATATTTCAATTCAGGTCCATTTGATACGGAAGAGAATTGCCCATGATCTCTAAAAGTTTGACTTTGTGTTATCTCACAACCAATAAGAAATTCGAAGAAAAAGGATTTAAAAAGTTACTTTTGAGAAAAACAGATAATTTTTCGTCACAATACCAATAGAAATAAAATCCTAAGAACAAACATAATCATGTATTTTCTTTCACATGTCGGAATAATATACGATCACAATGAATGAAAATGGTATCCCTCATCCTAGATAGATTTTGGGATCTGATTTTCCTCTCGCTCTACCCTCTATAGAAGGTAAGATCATCGAATGGAAACCCACCCTCAGAGAGATTCGGTCTATAAATAACAAATCGGCTTTTATCTCTCCAAGTTCTTATGATTCGGGAAGTGAAGCTGATGATTACAGTGATTCTTTCATTCTTCTCCTCCGGATTGAATGGATCAGTATTGTCAACTCCATGTACCCTGGCTCGCAGCACAACAGTAGCATTTCTCCGTGCAGGCTATATTTATGGTCAGGCACATTCAATTCCGAAACCAGTCACACGTTCTTGCATTATGAAAGTGAATGACTTTGTCAAGAGAGCATGTCTTTTCCTTACACATACTTTGTTCGTTGTGGGTTTGACGATTTCCGGACGATCACATGGCGTCGACGGCAATTTACATTCTTTATTAAGAACCGTAGCTCGTTCAACTTCGTCGTCGCAGGTGCACTACATCGCTCACCTTTTGTACTTCCAGACAGGCTCTGGCACAGCATATGCAAGGCCAGGATTGAGGCACAAGCATTTAATTGTCCTTCTGGAGGGCTATTGGGTGTTGGGAAGTGGCAATGATTGACCGGATTCCATACTTTATTGTAGAATATTCTCTTCGTTTTCAAGTTTGTAATTTGAATTGAACAAACCCTTCGAATTGAATAGCTCATGCCTTATATCAGGCTGGTTTTCCGATCCTCATGTCGAAATCCCAGCTTGCTAATTTCTCAATACCCGTCGCGTATTTATTGCACACTTTTAATACCCTCGGAAGTTAGTAAACGGGTGAACATATCAGACACTTTTCAAACTGAACCGGGAGTGTAATAGACCGTGATAGACCGCGATGGCTTGAAATCCGGCAACCCTCGTGTCGTGGACGAGCTCTGGAGGAGGAAGCAGAATTGAAGCACCACTTGAACACATTGCCTATTTTCCCATTGAGAATCTCCAGATATTTTTAGCCGATCGCTTCAGGGAGGCTTAAAAAAATGTGGAATGTGCAGCCCCTTGGCTCCAGAAATCAGAAAGGTGCTCGCCTCTTTAAGAAAGTGAGTAAGGTGAGTACCTCTGTGCCCACTGGCGAACGGAGACATTGCTAAAGCCAAACATCACGTCGGACTTCGCGATCGGCTCTTTCCTTGCCCCATCGTTCGAGGGCAACTCGACACAAGACACAAGCATACGGACCAACCACGGGCGAAGTCGAAGCCCTCACGACACCCATTCACTGCGTACGGTGGAGGACACCAGAATCTATGACCCAGTCGCACCGAGTAACCCAGGTCGGCCGAACGTTCAGCAACCTGCGTTACTCGGTGCGACTCGGCCTAGTCTCCGCCCAAGCGCGGACCGGTCGAGTCAAACCCGCCGGGGGCGGGCGAGGGGCAGGCTACGGAGTTACGGAGAGAGCGCGCAGTCGGAGACGACCGCGCAGCAGCCGCCTTTTTACCATGTACACAGTCGGCGGCCCCGGTGGGAATCGATCGGTTGTACTGGTCATAGGAGGCCGTCAAGGCACATGATGATCAGCCTCGGAACGGCAACGGTAATCCCGCCATTTCGGGGGGGGGGGCTTTTCTTCCCCCCCCCCTCTGTCCGTCCCTGCGCTTGCGCCCGACCCCACTCGCAGTCGCCCTCGGTCGCGACCTTCGGTCCCTAGTGCCCCTTGTGCTGCCTGCCTGCCAGGCGGACCTTTCCCCTCCCCGTTTCTCCCTCTCTGATATTTTACTGTGTCCTCGGCATTTTCTCCCAGTCTTGCACGCAGCCTGATCTCGAGACCGCGAACAAAGAAACAAGGAAAGAACGAAAGTGAATTCCGAGAAGTGGAAATCGAGATAGGGACACACTCACTTTCACACACTCACTCACACACTCTCACACGCGCATACAATTCTCACTGACTGACTGACTGACTGACTGACCGACCGACTGACTGTCGAATCGCGCAGCAGCAGCCGAAAAAAGGTACAGATAGGCAGGCGGACCGAGCCGCGCGAGCTTGGAAGTAGCTCGCGTGACTTGGCGGTCGGCCTGGTCTCTTGCTTCTTTCCTTTCTTGATCGATCCCGGTATAAGATAAAGCTGTCTCCGCCTTGTCGTCCGTGGGTTCACAGTGTACATGATCAATCGCCCGCCCCGGCCCGAGAAATCCCTGCCTGGTCTTGGTCTTGCTGAGTCTAGCTGTGAATGCTTGCCTGCCTGCCTGCCTGATGGTCCTGAGAGTTCTCTAAAGGTAAACGATCGCCACCTCCCGTGCCGGCACCACAATATCGATCCAATTCGGTGCGGAAAGGGGAGGCTCTGTGCTGAGAACTTTCGGGTTCGGGTTATGCAGACAGACTCTCGGTATACGTAGTGCGGGGAGGCAGGAGACGAGGACAGGGCGAGGCCGCGAGGAAGATTATTGAGACGGAAGCAATGCTGCGTGTCGATTAGAAATAAGAATGCTCTGCCAAGGACGAAGAACAGCATTGTGGTGGTACGAAAGGTCATGAGCACCTGCTTCTAGAAATCTTGGACCGGATCGTTGGATGTGGGCGAGGCTCTGTGGCAAATAGATGCAGCTCAAGCGAGGAATCACAGGAATATACAAGGAACGGAAGGCAGTGGAGGTGGACAGTGCGTCACTTGCTTTGATAGTGGCAGTGGACAGCAGCAGCAGCAGCGTTCTGCTGCTCTGGGCATCCGAGGGAATTGCAAAGGTGGTCGGATTTGGCTCGAATTAGAACTTTTTCAATCCGGCCTGAACTGGGCGTCGGCAGCGTGCTCTTCCTCCCGGGTTAGGATGGCAGAGCTCTGCTGTAGACCGCAATCTCATCGCAGCAGAGCAATGTACATGAAGGTGGGACTGAGTGTTGTCCTGGCAGCGTTGCTCTTCGTCGGAGGGCTTCAGCAAGTCGATGCAGCGCATGCTCCGATTAAGTCCGCTACTAAGAATGCTTACGCCACAATGCTTTACATGGGAACTCCCCGCGACTACGAGTTCTACGTTGCAGCGCGGGTCATGCTTCGCTCTCTTGCGAAGCTGAAGGTGAATGCGGATTTGGTCGTAATTGCCTCCTCGGACGTCCCAATGAAATGGAGGAAAAATTTGTAAGTCTTCAAATCCTTTCCCTCACGCATTCTCAGGTCATGATTCGCATACCCATCAGCGCCTTTCGCGTAGTCGGCGTCCTTGACGAATCTTCCTGCTCAGCAGCTGAGGTCACAGACCGTCGAATTCAGCAACTTTCTCGATTGCAGAGCTCGTTCGGTAGAGTAAGACCAGGACCTGGGAAGAGCTTTCTTCCTGCTCGTGAGCTCTGTTCGCCCAGCGGCAGACTCCCTCCCGGTTCAATGTACTGAGGCCAGGGTCTGTCCTGAGTATGTGCTCTAATTATCGACCGGAAGATTTGGCTTTTGCCTGACGATGCGGACGTGTTCTTGATGATGTGCAGCCAAAAAGATGGTGTGAGGGTTGTGGTGGTGGACGATATTCCAAATCCGTATCGAAATCAACCAAAATTTGACATGCGATTCATGTTCACGTTGAATAAGATTTATGCTTGGACGTTGGGTGATTACGAGCGAGTTGTGATGCTGGACGTGGACAATCTCTTTCTCCAGAAAGCGGACGAGCTTTTCACATGCGGGCAATTCTGCGCCGCTTTCATCAACCCTTGCATTTTTCACACCGGACTATTCGTGCTCGAGGTAAGCGAAATCTCCAATCAGCTAGTTCATCTGGGTTGAAGATTCGCTCCTTCGGGATTCATTCACCTCGACGAACGAATTGGACGAACGAACATGAAATTTGAGTTGCAATTGCGCAGCGATGCGATTCGATTCTGAGCGGCGTTCTTTGGACTTCTTGTGTTGCAGCCTTCCAACGAAACTTTCAACTCGATGCTGCACGATATCCAAATTGGTCGACAAAATAAAGATGGTGCCGATCAAGGATTCTTGACGGGCTACTTCAGCGACCTTCTGGACAGACCGATGTTCCATCCGCCAGCCAATGGAACGAAGCTCAATGGCATTTACCGTCTCCCTCTCGGATACCAGATGGACGCATCTTACTACTGTGAGTCTCCCTCCCTGCCTCCACGCCCACGCACTTCCTCTGCCCGCACTCATCATGAGCTCCGAACACTCCGCCGTCGTGCTCGCGACTCTTTCCACTTTAATAATTCGTGCACCCGAGAACCGTACCGGCGATTTCCCACTTATTGTATTCGTCGGAAATTCGACCTCTTGCTTTGCTGGGCGCAATTCTCGTGTCTTACTTACGCACTTTTGTCGTCCCGCCCTGCAGACCTGAAGCTCAAGTGGAGCGTTCCCTGTGGGCCGAACAGCGTCGTAACATTTCCCAGCGTACCTTTATTGAAGCCCTGGTATTGGTGGTCGTACCCTGTGCTCCCACTCGGTCTCTCGTGGCACGAACAGCGCCGCTCTACGATTGGGTACGTACGCTGCAGTCAGTCTGTCAGTCGACTCGTCAAGCTCGGAATTGCTGTCCGGCGATTTGCACGATTTTGAACCTCGATGTCGAGTCTTTCAATCTGAATTTTTTTCGCTAGGGTATGTTACAATCGAGCTTGGCAACACAGGTCCCGGACAGAGTTGGAGGATTTTGGATGCAATTGCGGTCGAGTGATTAGGGGAGTGTGTGCTAGAGGCCGACGAATCGGGTGGGGATATTTGTGGGCTGAATGATTGATTGCTTGCTTGCTTGCAGATATGGGTCCGAAATTCCTTTGCTGGCTGCCGAGGCAATCTTTTACTTGGTGACGATAATCGTGGCCATGATCGTGCGGCAGCGCATGCTGGCGACCGAGAGGCCGCCTTTGATCAAGTCGTGCCTGGGGCGGGGGCCCTGCTCCATGGAGTCGGGCTCGTACATTATACCGTTTCTGCTGAAAGTAGCGGCGATTCTGTCAATTGTGGCCAGCTTCGGCATCCCGTTGATCATCGTGCCGACCACCGTGCACCCGCTGATGGGATGGGGACTGTGGCTGCTGGGCTCCATGTCCCTGTTGATAGTGACGATCAACATTTTCCAGCTGCCTTTCCTGCCCGTCTTCACTCCGTGGCTGGGATTCTTCGGCGTTCTGCTGGTCATGGCTTATCCGTTTTACAGCAACGGCATCATTCGGGCTCTCGCTATCTTCGGCTACGCGTTTCTGGCTGCTCCTTTCGTGTGGTGGACCTTGACTCAGGTGTCTATGACCATCGATTTAGCCTGCACGAGGGAGCCTCTGATGGCCTACGCAAACCTGAGGTCAGAAACTCCTCAGTCGGAATTGATGAAACTCTGCTGAGCAGGATTCAATGTTGTTTGTTCCCAGTTTCTTCCTCGTCGTCGATGCCGAGAGTCTTTCTGAATCCCGAGGCACTCTAGGATTTGAAAGCTTGTTCTTTGGCTGCGGGAAATTTAGCGCCCGCACGCACTGTGCTGAGTTTCAGTTTTATCTGGACACGCCAGAAGTAATTCTCTTTTCATTATTTGAACAGTTTCATTTGAACCTGATTATCGTCGCAGGAAAAAGGAGATGATAGAGGAGTGGTGACACGGGGAAGAGACAGCTTGCCCACACGCTGCTGCTGTGGGCTCATACATGTGGACGTTGCCGACCTCCATCCGCCGAATATAGAAGAGTCTCACACGGCTCGAAAACCTCAATTAAATCCCGAGGTAGAAAAGTTTGACAATTAATTCCTCACGAGCCTGCGCTTGTGAGGAGATTCATGATTAGGTAGGTAGTTGCATCTGTGCGGGAAAACGGAAATTACTATTTCCTTCTTTCCATTATGTAATACAAGCAAAAACTGTCGTTGAAGATGGTCTTCAGCCACAAAATGTTGATGTAGAGAGCTCTTCTCGTCGTCATATCTTGGAGGGACTGACCAACTCTGTCAAGATGTACATTAAGGTGCCCTTCGCACATTTCGTTGGTTGTGTGAAATTGTAGTGATATCCGTCTAGAGCCAGATCTCCGAGCAGCCAGATATGGGGTTAAAATTTTTATGCTACAGGCTGGACTTGGGGGTTATGCCGCGTATCCAGAGAGCTATATCGATCGACAGATTCTAACACATTCTAATACCAATTCATTTTTGACTCCTTTAAAGTTTGTCTGCTCCCTCTGCATGTTATGATGATGGAATTTGTGTTCACAAGTGATGCACTGTCCTCCTTTAAGTGCCTTTCCAGGTCTGGAGTCTGCAAATAAAGTGCTTTGTGTCGGGCCTGTGAAATATTTAATGAAACCTGGAAGCGTCACTCGAACACCGCTACACTCGAACATCGTTGTCTCATAGACGGACGAAAACTGTCATGCAGTGCATGGCTAACCGAACAAAGTCTCGACTGATACACTTCGTCCGATAAGTACACAATTCGTCTTCTGGGTCAAAACTATTGGCTCAGAAGACCTTTCAAATTCTGGCAATCGTCCTCGACGTAGTCAATGACCCCGAGACTCCATCATTGACCACAGGTTGCCTACGCGGAACGGTCTAATGGGTAACCTTGTCTACTGACTGGAATCATTTCCATGGGTAACCTGGTCTACTAACTGGAACGTTAACTGCGGAAGGCTTAGGCGAACATAACGTTCCCATGTCAAAACAAATACAGTATGAAGATAACATTTAATTTCGGCAATGTGGTTAATCTAGATAGTGAATTGTTGAGGAAAGTTTTTTGGTATGACACTCCACCGATTTCATAGAAGTTTTTTTCCTATACGAATCGACTCACCAAAACTTGTTTTCCACTCCGAAGTGTGATCATTAATCATGGGGCAAAATCTGCACATCGGAATTTCTGTCCCGCATTCAGTTGGTGGCTAATACTCGCGGTTTCTGACGAACGTTTCTCAACGCTCAATTTATTGAGTAGGTCAATTCAGTGAGTGGGACGGTGTGAAAGCATCCCTGTGGTCTTTAGCGGATTAGTCGTCGAGAGGCTTTGATTTAGGGCCGATTCGTCAGTACACTTGTTGATGTTCAATATCAACCCATCGATGACAGACTACATACTGACAGCTTCATTTATTAGGTTTAGACATATCCTTCGCGGATAATGTCTCCTTCGTAGCAGGACATCATCGGAAGGTAAAAGCAGTAGCTGTGTTCACATTCTATATTGCGCATTGTTCCCGGTTTCGTAGCGGGAGTTCAGAGCCATAACCAATCTACTGTGCGTGATGATTCTCCGAATGTCCCATTATGGTTTTCACTCTGTCTCGAATGACAGGTGTCTAGGATCCACTGAAGTCAGATCGTGTAGAGACAGTTTGTGATCCTCATAATGATAATGCGCTATGACGTTTCCATCTAGGACCTTGAACTCAGAGATGGGTGGCCAATTTTAAACCTGAATATGGTTTCGGAGAAACCGTCACCTGGTCTGGTAGCCAGCTTCTTGATTCCCACGCAATTTGTCCAATAAAAAATGCTCTTTACAATCACCAAGAAGAAGGCCACTCATATTCTCATCCGACCAATCCTCTCAGTAGAAAAGTCTAGCGGATACCAAGAATTGATCATGTATTTACGTGTACCTGCTTGGACTGGAGGTCGACCTGAACCTTTATCAGGAAGGGACCGTGTTTCACGTGGACTTGAACATTGCGCATTTGCTACCAGCAGATCAGCGTATGTTCGACAATGCAAATCATAGCTGGCCAAGCAGCCATACTGAAGTATCGCTTGAATCGCTTCCATTGCAAGATGAACCAATTGTACAAGATTGTGAACATAAGGTCATGGTGGTATGATTCGCTGTGTTTACATGATAAGGAAGAGTACATTTCCCTACGGTGAACTTTTATACTGTCAAAAGACGTCGTGCGAGTACAGACCTGTCTATCCGACAGATCCCTTCTCCTGAGAGGCTTTCCAGATTCTATATGCAGCCGCCCACATCGTGCAGTTTCCAACAACCGTCAGAAAGGCTTGCAGAACGACCAGCACCTGGAGACGGTAGGATGGATGACGCGTGATCAGACAAAGACAATGGCGAAAATGGCAGGAGCAAGTTGTGAACAAAGCAAACGCACAAGGATTCTAAAGCAAAACATCAAGTCCCTCCAGCACCACTAACAGCACCAGTTGTGTTCGCGACAAAGTTCACTGCACTAAGGATCCCACATTTCGTCTCTATAACTTGAATTTACCGATATACTTCGTCTCGTATTCACTTGGACATGGAGAAGGATGCGACACTGGTCGATAGATATAACTCTTTGAAGATGCGAAACCCTCAATATACGGTGCCGTCAAAAGTGCGAGCGACCTTGATTGTGGAATGTCTGAGACAATGTCGAGAAAAAAAGACTAACAGCTGTATGTACAGAGGAGTGAAGTTCATAGCTAGATGTGAAATTCGAGCAGGGATGTGGTGTTGACGAAATGTAGGTCAAGTGTTAGAAATCTACCTCCAGTGACGGATCGTTGTAGAAAAAGTGCCAAGTGCAAGCACACATTGCTCCTCCGAGCAAAGGTACCTGAACATAATTAAACCCAAGCACAGTTACTCCAAGCTGAATGGCAAAATTACGGAATTTTGGAATAGAACAAAACAAGCTCACAAGGCCAATTACGCATCACTGAACCCTACACGAAGGTAAACTGACATCGCCGACATAATTGCCGGCTCCAAACACGTACCATGCCCCAAGTTAAGCCCTTCCAAGATGACTTCCCTGGCATATCTCCATACTTCCATACTAGCACCATCGCCGTCACCCTGTACCATCAGAATCATGGCCGGTTATCATCCGAAAACGACACCCTGTGTCCGAAAAAAGGTACAGAATCCGAACTGAAATCCAGGAGCCATCAGGAACAATCAATCTCACCATTCTGCAACACTGGCGACATGGATCACCCAGGTTGGCAAGGACAAAGCATTTGCTGGTTCATTGGCAGCCCAGCCCATGAGGCCTTGGGCAGTCGTCCCCACCTCCATGTCCACGGCCCATGAATGCTCTGGAAACAAAAGAATTCCACTCGCTAATCCCAAGGCTAGAACCTCTGCTGCTCCATAGCTGTTGAGCTCAATTTTCTGAGTGCTAAACCGTGAGTGCCACCCTCGTTCATCTCTGCCACTCGAACAGACTTCAGTTTCAATTGAGAATCTGGATTCGAGCAGCTGTGGCTGTGGCTCGAGAAATTCATGACTAACTTTTAAGGAACGAGGCGAAGAACGGCGAAATTGGGATGTCTGTGAACTCTGACGAGCAAATGTCGTCGGAAACTTGACTGAGGAGGCCGATCTCGTGACAAAGGACGGTTGCAAACATGATGAATTAAATCCCGGGCGAGCGCTGGAGCTGGTTCCAGTCTGCCTGGGAAACAATTGAACAACTGTCATGGCTCCCCCCCGAGTTTCCAGTCTCCTGAGACGTACTCAGGCTCGTCCTGTAGGCTCGAACGTCCGGAAGATCCCGCCACGCAATCCCCGAACGAGGGACCAGTTGTCTCGACAGGATAGACATGGCCACCTCCGCGGCCCCTCCAAGCACAGCCCAAAGAGAGAATAAACAGTTCCAAGTATCCGCTCCGTTCTGGGTAGGGAGCACATACTTCGAGCCTCCAAAGTCAGAAGCACAACTGATGTTTCCACATCGCGAAGGCGTTTGGTTTCGATCAGAGTTTTGGCATAGTTGTTCTAGTGATCGTTGATGAGGAGAGTTGAAATCTGGAGAATGTTGCCATATCTAGCTATAATAGTGAGTGATGAAAGTAAACATTCTCTGATGGAAAATATCACCAGGTTCCAACACTTCACGGAGAAATGATTCATTTCATCTTAATCTTCTTTTTGCGAATTTTGCAATTCTTCATTGAATTGATTATGTGAATACACTGCATGGTTCTGATACATAAGCCATGCGTTTAACTGATTTCTACTCTGTAAACTCAAATTGTTTAGCACATATCTTAATCTTTAGCGCGTAAATGATTACAAGTATATAAACGGATGTACATATACATATAAGAAAAACTAAATGAAACTCTGTGCACGTTGTCATTTAATTTTAATTGGAAATTCATTCAATTTGAATCATATGTAATTTCATTGGATATTTTTTTAAGTGCTCACAAGTAGCTCTGTCAATCAAAGATGAATCAGAATATTTATTTATCGAAGAATTCATGATTAATTTAGAGCTATGTAAATTTAATTGCAGCATTTTTTTAATATTTTGTGTATATTGACTATATTTAAGAATTCATAAAATTTATTTTTTAAGAAAATATTAATTATATTAGGTGTTTTTTTAAGAATTCCGAATTTAATTTTTTTATACAATTATAATACTCAATTTTCATAATAATAGATTATATCATTTTACCAAATATTTGTAAATTTAAACAGGGAAAAAAATTAAAATGCCAATCTAATCGACATTGATTTATGATCAGTTTCTATAAAATTAAATAAGTTTAAAATGATAATCTATAGTTTTCAATGATTATTTATTGATAAATAAGGGAAAATTTATTCAATTTAAAATGATAAATATTATAGATAAAGTTAAAAAGACTATAACTATCAACTTATGATAGTATTAAGAAATTAAGAATATAATATGTTTAGCTTGCAAATCTAATGGATATATGATATGATTGTTAATTGACATATGATATGGTTGTTTGTATATATTCAATTCTTTCATTGATATATGTTGTTGTATACTTAACAATTCAAAACACATTTCGACATATAATAAATATATTCATGCCACGACTTTTTTTTCCAGATCAAGATAAAATAAAATGCATAGATATGTATTCTTATATCTCTACAGATCTTAAAGTATCTATAATCATCTACAATTTACATATATTTTGATTGTCAATTGTGTAGCATATATTGAACAAAATTTAATGTAATAGACTTATTAAAAAATCAATTTGAAAAACAGCATAAAAATGATGTATTTTTAATGTTTTATAAATGTGTTCTATAATTTAGAGTTAAAATTTGCCAAATTTTATCATATCATGTTTTTATTTCATAATAAATACTACGTATAGTAATCGTAATTCAATTTTGTATGTATTTTTATTTCACCAAGTATTTTTTTGAAGTTTACTGTATTATTTTATGATATTGTTTTCGTTATTTAAATTTTTTGATAAAAATTAAGAATTTTGAAAAATAAATTTCTATGATTTTTTATGTAATAGAAGCTCACAATGTTTTGTGATAAATTCTTATGTGTTTCATTTCCAAGTTTATCTTTCATCTCCATTCTTTAATTAGCTTGTGTGGATTTAGTTGTTTAGCGTTCTAAGTGATTTGGATGAACTAATAGATCTAACTAGTTATTCAAACTTATCTTTTTGTAAATTGCACTTCATAAATGCAACTCTCATCTTTATATTTTATGTTGCAACACACATCACAGCAATTTTATAGAGTGACGTAAGATATCAATACTGGATGAAAGTGAAACCTATCACTAGCACAAGAATTCACACAATCTACATGCAAGCAAAATCTATATTATTATATATGCAAATATAGATAGAAAAATACTTCCGCAAATCCACCTATTATCACACTAGAAGTATAATACTCAAACAAATAATGCATCAACAAGAACAAACATTGTTCACAAGCAAGAAGTCAAGATAGTAGTATATAAATCATACTACATACATACAACAATACTTTATCTCAAAAGTATACATCAATTGAATGAGTTGTAACCAAACTATACCAACATGGAACTCTGAAGGTGATAATATAATGATATTAAATTGAACATCTTTTGCTTTAGGAATTAAAAACATGACAGCTATGTATTTGTTATTCTTGATTTCTCTGTCTAATGCAATTTGATATGATTTAGTATTTGCTTCAACATTTGCAGAAAATTCAAAAATTCAACTGTATTTTGGAAACCCTAAATGTCAATTTGCAGTCCTCTCATCACTTGCCTCACCAGCAAAAGTCACGTGATATCTAGCCTATTTCCTCTCTTCAGATTTATGGAGGCACTGGAAATTATTATTCAGTATTGTTGTTCAAAGATATCCGGACACTTTCAAAACATCGATGTGGATGGACGGCTCATGGTCTGAATAATATTGAGCAAGTTTTCTCTTTAAGTCATCAAAAAATTTCAATTACAGCTAGTAATTGGAATTTTTTGATGCGGACATACTTGATGTATACAGTTTATAGCTCATTCATGTTCAATGCGAAATTGTTACTCCAATCAGATTTTATTTTGAATGAAGCATTGTAGAATGATGTTACGTGTTCAAGCACATTATCGCAATTAATTAATCATAGACGTTTTAACACTAGAGGAAGGCCAAACGGTTTTTAGTATAAGTAAATTGTATGTAAGATACTTGATGAGGGACTGTTCTTCCATTTGGATCGTCTAATTCCTTTTGCAATTATGTTCGATATTATATGATTCTTGTCTGGTCACGAGCAAGAATATATATATGCATACATGCATCTCGAGTTTTTAAGTGTCTGCCTTTAGTGCTGATACCTGCGATTTCATTTGACAGATCCTTGCACGTTCTGCGGAAATTCTTCAGGTTCAAAATCAGATCATTAGTATGTCATAAAGGTAAAGATGAAAATAAAAATTATAGCTTTTATGGTACATATAATACATTAGCTATATGCTTATAATATCGACATGTTAATTGTACATATATGTTGTAAGACACATCTTAAACATCATTCTCCATAACTGGATATAATATGAAACATCCATACGAGACATATCTCATCTGAATAAATATTGGCAATGATGTTTTGTGACTTAGTGATCTCACAAATATTTCTTTTTAATATCTTTATTTTGAGAGTTATCACAGTTCCCAAAGCGGATTCATACCTAACGTCTACGGTTCGTGTGAGTCTTCAACTTCCTTGATTTTTAATAATTGAACTACATGTATGTGTGTTGAGATTATTTCATCCTCACAAACCTGCAAGGCTAGATCTCAAATATTTGCAAATTGAAGTTAGACCACATAGCTAATCAACTAGACGATGCTAGAGTTTTGGGCACTATTCTTGTCGCATGGCTGTCGACTCTGGCACATGGAATTCCCTTCCGCCTTTTAGGTTTGTCCACCAAAATTCTATGAGAATCCAAACAAAGTACATGGAACTGTGCTCAAGATGGACATGTTGGCCTCACTTGCTGATAAAGGTTATGCGGTTTTTCTTGGATCGAAGCCTTGATTGATGCATGTATCTCTTCATGATCACAGAATTAGGTCGAACACACACCTTGAGCAAAGAGGGAGAGAGAGAGAGCAAGAGCGCGCGATGAACGCAAATCTTGACGAGGTGAAAAAGCGAGAAAGAAAAGGGGACACTTGATGGAACCGAAATAGAAGCAATCGGGTGACAGAGACATCTCACCTTGTTCATTCTCTCTTTCTCAACCGAGGTCGCGAGGGGCAAGGGAGGTCCCAAAAACTCTTATGTGATTAAAAGGGAGGGTGCCAACGGACTTAGGGCAAGTGGGTAGCTGAGATTCGAAATCTAGAGAAAAGAGTTGGAGTGTGGCTGGGAATCTTCAATACCAAGGAATAAGTTGCAACGGCTTACGATCGGAAAGCTTTACAATTTTTAGGTCCAAATGCTCATTTGAATTTACAAAGTTCTCGCGTCGGCACTAAGTACAATCAAAACACCGTTATTAAGCCAATAATATATTACACCGACTCCGCGAATTTTGTTTTCTAAAACATATCCATATCCTCAAGTTTTTGAAGTTTCCAAGATTCTGGTGAGTTATCACCTGCTTAACTTGGTTCATTTCATCATTAGTGATAGAATTTATGTTTATGGTAAAATTTATTTATATACCCAAATAGTACTATTACTCTATTATTGTTATCTCATCAAGGTATGATTCGTATGCGATATGAGAATGTTGTTGTGTTACATACTTAATGGATCAGAACTTACAAATATTTTAGTGAATATTTTGAAACTATGATAGTTGTCTCCAAATTTCATCACTAGAGCATAATCCGAAAAAAACTGAATCAATTATCAGTGGAACAATGCACGGGTTTGGACAAAATCACATTCAAATACAAAGAATAAGGTGAGTTCTAACTTACTACATCAAACCGTGCAAGTTTGATGGAGTTGGCTTTTGGCTGTTATAGTCAAGTTACTGAGAAGCCGTTTCGTGTACCACATCTTAGTTTGGAAGAAGGGAACCACATAGAATATTTGGTGTTAAGTAGAAAGTTTTTTCGTGTACTCGCTGCTATTGCATGTAACGTCGAATAGTAAAACTTTGTGATCAAGTGTATTGCTGCAGTAAACTGGGAAGCAGATTTTGAACTCACTTCACCAGGACTCTCATCAGAGCATAGTGAGGTTTCTCTGTAACAAGCAGAGAAAGCTTTGAAATTCATCGTTGACATCACCAATTCTCGGACTCAGCCGAACTCAATCCAAGGTACGTGGAACTCACAATTACTAGCAGAGTCGTCACGAGCGAGC